AATCTCTGAGTCATGTCGTAATCAAAATAATTGATAACTTTTTTTGTTAGCAAAGATTTTGTTAATTACAGAAAAGTTTTCATATCTTGTTAAGATCTTGATCCAGATTCTTGCAGGCAAATTCCTCCAAAAAGACTTGACAAGATCTTGATCAAGATTTTTTCAGGCAGATTCCTCAAAAAAAACTTGACAAGAATTGTTGAACATTCTTTGAGATCAAGAAACTTGACAGATCTTGTGCAGATATAAACTTCCTGCAGGACATGGGTATATCTCATCTATATCCTATATCTCTCGGAATTCCGAGAGATATAGGATTTTAAGAGGGTGGTTTACAAATATGACTGCTATGGATGTACAAACAGCTATATACGACAGACAGTGAGAGGAGTAACAATAAGAAAAGAGGAACACCAAAAGGCCCTTTGTGGCACAGGATTTTCTAGGATAGCTGTCCGTTGTTTGGACACGTGTTATCACACTAATCAGAATCCAGAAATGCTTGCAGTTGAATTACACCTTATAACTAAAAGAACTATCAAAAAGAGCTTGTTGATGGACATTCACACAAAACAAAAGAAAAATCTATTCGTTTGAGTTTAAAGAATTTTAATGATACGTCATGAGGCAGTCTACGTATGTAGTAGGAAAATGGTAAGTCTATTGTGTTTAATCTGCTTATTTTGTTGCGTTCTGCATACTTGTATTTTAACATCTTTTATTTTTCTGCATTCAGAATCATCTATAGTTATTTTTGTTATAAAATCTTTTCCTCTTCTTCTGCGCATGTTCTTCTTAGATTGAATGTATGGGCATCTTGTCATATGCGAGATAAAAAAGATGAGCTATACGTTAAGGCTCTAGCGTTGTTTAATGTTCGACTTTAGCGCTCGAGTAAGCATTAACACAAAAAATACGAGATTCAAACAAAACTATGTCTATTAGACATTCTTATGTAAATGAAGTAGTTATAATCGATCACATCTGACATTTATATTGAGTGTACTTCTTCTGTTGACAACCTATGGGTTAAGCACCTATTTTCGCAGATTAGTTGTTTACTTCACAATCCGATTAAGTCCAAAATTTGATATATACTTTATAAGAAATTAATTGGTACAGAAATTGAAAATATATAATGAATTCGAATATTTTCGAAAATATCTGTTCTTTTCCCCATTTCTCGTTTTTCATGCTTATATATATATACATGTAGTTTCTGTGTTCTTTGTTATTCGTTCTTCTGATGATGCCGAGTGTTACTCGTCGAAAGCTTGAGATAGAATTACTGTGGATTTGAATAAAATCTAATTATGTACTTCATAGCAGTATGGTACTATCTAATTCATTATGTATACTTTATATACGACAAATGTCGACGTTGCTTTTTATACTATTCACTATTGTACTTCAGATACTAATTTTACCTCGTTTACCGATATGCATTCATCAACTCGAGTTGCGATTTGCGGAGCGGGTCCTTCTGGTCTTAGTCAATTACATGCGTTTGAATCTGCTCGACAATGTGGTTCACAAATTCCTGAAATAGTGTGTTTTGAAAAACAAAGTGATCTGGGTGGTCAATGGAATTATACGGGGCGGATAGGATTAGACGAATATTCTGAACCTGTCCATAGTAGTATGTATGAAAACTTATGGACAATTCTACCGAAGGAATGTTCGGAATTTGTTGATTATTCGTTCGATAAACATTTTGGTCAGCCATTGACATCCTATCCACCTCGAACTGTTATTTTGGATTACATTCGAGGGTACGCGGAACAAAACAATGTGCGTCAGTATATTCAGTTTTATACAGTTGTTCGATGGATTTCTTATTCTCATGACAAGAAACGATTTAATGTTATAGTCAAAGATTTGAGAAAAGACGAAACGCGATCTGAAGAATTTGATTTTGTTGTTGTGGCTACTGGACATTTCTCAAAACCCAACATACCATATTTTAATGGAATCGAAACATTTATCGGCCAAATATTTCATTCTCACAATTATCGTTCTGCTCATGATTTTGTCGACAAACACGTACTGCTTATTGGCAATGGATTTTCAGCAGAGGACATTAGTTTACAGTTATACAAGTACGGAGCAAAATCTGTTACACTCTCATATCGAACTAAACCAAAAAATTTCAAATGGCCTAATGAAATCCAAGAAGTACCACTACTGGTTAAGATTGATAGAGAAACTGTGTATTTTAACGATGGCTCGTCTCAAGTAGTACATGTAATTATTTTTTGTACTGGATATTTACACTATTTTCCATTTCTCGATAATAACCTTCGTCTAAACTCAACGAATTGTCTATATCCACCCGATTTATACAAGGGTATATTTTGGTTGAATCAGCCTCGTTTACTCTATTTGAGTATGCAGGTTCTAACATTTAGTCTTAATATTGGCAATATTCAAGCATGGTATGCTCGGGATGTTATTCTTGGAAAAATTATCTTGCCTTCAACTAAAGACGAAATGCAGTTTGACATGGAACAATGGCATGTAAAAGAAAAAGTAATTCAGAATTTATCCGATTCTATCGATTTCCAAAGAGAATATCTTCTTGATTTGATCAATGCAACGGATTATCCACGTTTCGATATTAATCGAATGGCTAAAATATTGCTCGAATGTGTAAAATCAAAATTCGACAATATACTCACCTATAGAGAAAAAACATACGCTTCAACAGTAACAGATACAATGGCAAAACAACATCACACATCATGGTTGAGCGAAATGGATGATAGACTTGAAAATTTTATCAGAAAATAACTTTATGTGAACGATTAAGACGGACAGACATTTCAACTCAATATAACTAGGCGAGAGCTAATCGCACTCTTCTAAGAGTAATGATATTATGTGTCACTGGATAGCGAAATCGTACGATTCTCTAACTCAATTTTATTGTATCATTTGACTACTTGTACCCGGTCTATAAAGATTTCAGGCGTTAATAGAGATACGAATTCTCTTCAAATTTCGAGCTCCTTCTTTAACTGATTCACTTCTCAAAAGTTGTCGTTAGTAATTGATTTTATTTTGCTCGCTAATCTGGATTCTAAAGTCAACTTCAAAGCATTTTTCTCACAGCGACTGCTTACAAAAATGGTAGATGTCAATGAAACGAGAAGATAAATCTCGATCAAGAAGGGGAAACTAGTTTTCTGCTTGCGAAAGATGCATAAATTCTTCAGTTACCGCGTACAATGGCTTATTTTACTTGGTAGTAGATGTTTGAAAGATTAGTGACGCAAGATATCCATTAGTTAAACATTTGATGATCTTGCATATAGATAGAAAATATTTATTTATGTATCTATCTAAAGCAAGTAACAGTCCAGCCATCTGCAAATCTGATTAAGTAAAGGGCGGGTGTCGGTTTCTGCTTGAAATGGTCTAATATGATTTTGAGCGAAAATAATTGCAAATGCCTTCTGTTTTACTTTCACTCTGTTCTCAATTTTCTCCGTTAAACCTGAGAAACATGCCTAAAAAATCATTTTTGTCTTCGTATGTTAAATAGATTGGAGCTTGTGCAAACCATTTCATCTTATTGTGTTCACTTTTAAAAGCATTTGTTTTTATGTTTTTTGCAGTTTCTACTAAACTGGTGTCATATTTCTCATGGTTTCGCTAGAAGGCGCACGTTATCGCTGACAATCTGAATAGTGTTTTCTTGTTATCACTGTACTTCTCTGTGATTAACGCACAATGTCGTTCTGAAGTAAAAATGAAAAAATACGAGGGGCTCTTTTATTTTAACTTTTACAAGATGAGTTCAAGGGGGTCTTCTATTTAGCGAGGTCATGACAAGCAAAATTTTGCACAACGTTTTGGAAATTTCTACATGGATAATGGTACAGCACCGGTAATCAACCTTTATCGGGTGGTTGTTCTGAGTGGACAACAATCATAGTCTTAGCAGCACAAAGTGAAACCGGAAATGAGAAGAGCGCGCAAATGTTTTTAGCTTTAACGCTCACATTTTTAAAAGAGTTTGATGATCCCACATGACCTTCAGTTTTCATATTATGCTATTCAGCCTAATCACTTCGGTTTATGTAATTGGGTGAGTGTGCTCCTGTAAATCATCGAGTGAGCAGTGCGGATTTCACCTTGTAAAACACTAATGTATCGTCTCCGCATCTGAATCTACAGTGATAACAATGGTTGAATAATAAAATGGATTATGATGAAAATTTAATGATAAATACTGTTTGTTAACGGCGTGATCAGCTAACGGTCCACCTTCGGATGAGAAGGTCCGAATTTTTGTTTTAACTTGAACAAAGCTTAAAAATACATCATTAGACGCAGTTTTTCACGGTGATTACAAATCTGGCCTCAAAACAACTAAAAGTCAAATCTTTCTGGTGAAAATTTCAATTTTTAATTTCCTGACCCAGATATTTTTTCCAACAATTTTGAAAACTATATCGTCCAATAGAGAATTAAATCTTCTACCAAATGGCTCATGTGTTTTGATGTTTAGATGCCAAATCTTTTTTCCATTTTGTAAAAAAAATTTTGGCGCTTATTTTGTGAGCAATTTTATGCTCATTTAATCTAACTTTTAAAATTCATTTTGGCTGCATGGGATGAAGTGCAACTCAGACTATCTATCTACGTGCAAAACAGAGCTTGCTAAGTAGTTCTGTGACAGAAAACTTTCATACCAAATCACCTGCAAAAAACGGTCAAATTCCGTAACGTTCACTTTAATTTGTTTTCCTCTATCAGTGAACTAGTTCAACAAAACGTCAGTAGTGATTCTGATAGCCTAAACTGTGAGCTTTAATTTGCTAATCAAACAATGATTTTAAAATTAATTTTTTGACTATAACTTCTGATCCGCTTGTTCCATCAAGCTCAAAGTATTTTGAGTAGCCGAACTCCCTAATATCCATCATTGGTATAAGTCTCATTGATAAACGTTACTTCTTTGCCCAGATAAGGGATACAGAAGATGAGAAAATGAAATTCTGTAACATTTGGCCAAGCCGTTAAGAATGTAGGAAAATTAACTAACTTGAACTTGGTCATTTGTATGACGAAATGTTTTTGGTATACAACAGAAAATAAGATCTGACAACGGTATAAGTAGTGATTTATCTACGGGATTGTGTTTATTTCCTCCTTTATGAAAGAAAAAAGTGATTGCAATTTTGGATAAGCCAATTTGTTGAACAACTCACCGGTTAAATAACTGAATAAATTACCAAAGACAAGGATAATCACAACAGCATTAAATGCATACCATGTGAAAGAAATCGAATAAAGAGGTAGGAAAATATTTTTGCTAAATAAGAGTATCATTTATCCTCTGTTTTTTTGACTGAATGAAAAATACTTACCTTTGGGGTAATGATGGTGAAGATGATGAAGTGATATTTTCGATTAATGATATATTATATTTTGTAAAACATCCGTCTGTGGACACTGGTAGTTTCTCACTATTCTGATGATTAATTGTCAAAATAGAACCGACCAAGATCCATATTTGAAATAATAAACAAATAATGAAACCACTCAATGCTCCCTGAAAGAATAATTACATGTGCTAACATTTTTGCCATCTGTAACATTTACTTTGCTGTTTGCTTGTGGAAAAAATAAGGCTAATAGAAAAAGTCCAAGTATTGGTCCGTTAAAGGCACCACCTAATGATAAAACAACCTTTACTATGACAAAATAAAAAAGTGGTTATAAAATGAATTTTTTATTTGCTTTCTATTGTTCACGCATTTACCACTAATATGTTTCTGAAGTAAGACATGATAAATGCCAGGAATAGAACGATAATACCTATACCGAGAGCTGTTCAAACCAAAATCAAAATGATAAATCCTTGTTGTTTCTATAGTTTATACTTACATAATAATTTAGAAATTGTTGTTTGACGTTTATTAGATAATTGTTTTGTACTTAAACGCTTAAAAATGTCTTCAAGAATTACGGCTGCCATACTATTTAAACCGGATGAAATTGTGCTGTTTAAAAATATGAACGTTAAACTTTAAAACCATTGCAA